ATTATCATTCCCAAATCTGTCTAACTTACGTCAAGGCAACAAATATGCATTACGTCGTTTAAAATTATAAACCTAATTCATATAAGGTTCTCTTTGGTGATACGATCTCTATCATCAACATAATTTCCCTTATAAAAGTGTGGCTATTTCTTGAAACTGTTTTTTTTTTTCTCTCTTCAAAGTGCTGAATATTGCCATATTTTAGTATTCAAGTACACTGGTATCTTACAGATAAGTTTAAAAGTATCCGCAACATGAGGGTTCAGGACTTGAACTACTGAGAACAATTTCTAACACAGAAAGTAAAGGAAAGAAATCAACCCAAGTAAACAAATAAAGAAAATATTTATTTACAGAAACTGTGTAAGCCTTTACACTTACTTGCTGGCTTACAGTTTTCCTTTCACTCTTACTGTCTACTGGGAATGATAGACTTTTTTTAGGACAAATTCTGATTTACAGCCTAAATTCAGACAAAACGTTAAAAAGACTAGTAGAACAGAATTCAGTGCTGTATACGTTACAGACAATTCCAAATAACATTTATAGTGAAGAAAACACCTAACTCATATCAGTTTGTATATGGATCTGCGCCACTCCTAAAATACTTGCTCACCTACAAGGCCAATTTGATACGAGTTTTTATCGGCTGGTATAAGCCGAGTAAAAGGATTGGTAGGTGTTTACTTTTCGACATTCAGTTAACACAAATATAATTCTACATCAGAACACCTGCACAAATATTTAGAAATTTTTACTTAAATTCAACTGACTAAAGATGTATTCTAAGCTAGTAATTGGAGGGAGAAAATAATGACTATTTCATATTTATTGCATATTGAAACAGTACTTCGCGTTTACTCAAGTCGATATTCTCCTTGGTTTAACAACACAGTACAAAATCTGAGCTATGTCCTTAGAAAAAATTCATATCGAACAAGACGCTAAATTGTCTAATATTTCTCTTGATTTTAGGAAATTAGCCATCTTTTTTAACAAATGAAATATTTACTTATAGAAAAATACTTAAATGCAGCAACTAAATTGTCCAGCAGTTTTATTAATATTTTTAGTTTTGTGATGATCACTGAACTACGTCATAAAAACGCAAAACCTGGTCCCAAAATTTTATCTGAAAAAACCATTTACGCTCATTTCACATTTGTTTGTTCCTTCTTCGCACGTTTACGTAGTCACTGACACTTATGCTTGCGAACAGCGAGTCATAGCTTGCTTCCTTTGAAATACAAAACTTCACCAAAACTGTCTTCACCATGTTACTTTACTTTTGATCTAACGTATTTAATAAATAAGAAATAATTGTTTTATATAATTTTTTTCTGATGATCGAGTTTTCTGACATTCCAAAGGTTCTGTATTAATATTTCATTAGCTTGCAGGTTTGAGTGTGTTACCTTATTTGAGGTTAAAAGCACTTCTCAGAAAGGGTAACATTAAATGATGCATCACAGTGAACAATTTTAAGGGTAATACCACTCCTCAGTCAGGAGCAATATTAAATTACTGGAGATATATATATATTCATGATTTTAAGGATAAAATCACTCCCCAGTCAAAGTCATATTAAAGTTTTGAACTATCATATATATTAATATCATATGTTCTTTGTGTCAAAAGGTTACTGTTCAATAGGCTTCATATATACTGCATAACAGCTGCTATACCCCTTTCCCTTCCTTCTAGAATGATACTGCAGTACAACAGTCCATAAAAACCTTTCATATCGTTTTATCAATTGGAAAATAATTGTGAAATTATGTTACAAACTAACAAATATGCATTTTAACTGATTTAACCATTACTTGCATTAGCAAAAAATATGTTTGAACCTCTTATATAGGTAATATTAATCAGCTGGATAGCTGTTTCCTGACACATTGTGGAAGTATAGGCACACAATCCTTTTTGAAAGTGATTGATCATATCTAAAATTATAATACTTAGGTTAGAGTAGCATTACATAGAAGATCAACATGAAAGTGATTGATCATATCTAAAATTATAATACTTAGGTTAGAGTAGCATTACATAGAAGATCAACATCGCCATTTGTGAAAACATCCACTGTATGTGACTTTTGTATATGGAAGGCACTAGTCAACATGTTTTGTTAACCCTAAACACATGGGCATGGTTCAAAGTATGCATGCCATGATATTCACAGAGTGCTATTCAATATGGTAATATGTATTTGATGTAAGAGTTATCTAGTATTCAATTTATCAAACACTGCCTAATTAGTGACAGTTTGTGGTAAAGGAGAGTAAACAATTAATACAGTATACAGGGATACTGAGAAAAACTATAGATATGCATTTCAGAGATTCTAAAGGTTATGCAATTTACAAACTGTACAATGGACAAAAGTATTTTTAGTCTTCAAATTAAAATCACCTTGCACTCTGACTTGTCAGAGTCTAAATCAGGCTGACATTGCCAATTCACAGACATCTTGAATAGAACTATTTTTGTAACACATCTGACATTTTGTGTACAGTAGACTTGCGTACATTTTACTCAAAGCTTGCCATATTCTGTGTAGATACACATAACAAATTCAAAATTACAGTCAATATTCCTTCTCCAGTACTGGGTCATTCCAATAGACCAAGCCCATGCACATTTGGTTAATTGCATACAATCAAGAATTAAGTACATTTGTGTATTTTATTGTAACAAGAAATGATGTAGTGATTTGTTTTCCTCAATAACTTAAAGCTCAGTCTAAAGTTACCCAATTTCTGAACTACTCAAAAGTTTTTTCATAACATATTACCATTTTTATATCACCACAGTAAGATATCTCTGGTAGTAATTGACACAAGTAGCAGAGCCTCATTAAATTTCAAGAATTAATTTACTTATTTTAATCCAATTAATTCCTAACACTGACTTCATGATAGTGTATCTAGAAAATCAAATAAAGAAAAATTGTTACCTTGGATACATTATTCTATTAAAAATTTCTGACAGTCTAAAGTTTTTAACACATCCTTCATTCTAATGAATCGCTTTTACACAATGTTTTAGTAAGCTTAACAAGATACTAACAAATCATTAAACTTCTTAAAAACAAAACATCATTCCTGCAATTCTAATATTATCAGCTTTTATAGAAATTTAAATTATGAGCTTTGAACATTATATCAGTTTCTTTTTTAATGAATTATCACAGAGAAAAAATAAGCAAAGATATGATCTACTTCCAAGGGCCAGTACAAGACTGTGTTTCAATATCTAATTATTCTTGCAGGGATGGGTTACATTCAGTTATGTGTTCTAAAGTTCCAGAAAAATAAATCACATTCTTCTGTTAATCTGTCTTAATAACAAACATTTTACTATTTCTAAAAATATATTTTATAACGTATATTTTAAAGAGTCTTGCTTTCTTTTAATGTTATGATATCCAAGTACAAAATCAAAATAGAATATTCTATGATATTTCAATTAAACATTTAAGATTCAGGTCCAGGTGTCACAGGAGTGAATTTTAGGAATTTCTGTTTTGTAACTGGCACCACTATACAATATGCTAATTGTACACATACATCTACTCAAGTACATAAACAACCCTCATGAGTCCTTTTTTGTTTCCTGTAGATGGTGGATCATAGTGCAGAATGTATTTTTAACGTTACACAAATAAAGCTGTTGTTCTCATGTGAACATTGGTGTTGTGATGTTTATTGAAAGTATGCATAAGTGCCGACAGTCTAATGTATTTCTAAAATGCTTGTAACTACTTGGAGGATAAATTGGTTTGTTAAAATGTACCCACAAGTCATTAAACATCTCAAGAATAAAATATTAACAGTATGTACAGTATAAATAAGTTAAAAATCAATCCAGATTGCAGTTAACCTTTTAGGGTTTATAAATTTTTCTTCATTAAATCTGCATGATTTTTATAAGACGACAAAATGCTAGAGGTTGTTTAAACATTTTCTGATATATGAAGGTTATATCTAACACAGATGTACACTTCATTTTTTTTTTTTTATATACCAAGAACATAAAATTAAAATAATAGGCCATTTAACCATCAAGATAATTTCTTCACCAACCAATACAATTAACCTAAGCTAAATATTGCCATTTGTATTCACACATCTATCAAACAAATTTTATAATTATTTTAAACTAACAGCACATCATCAGGTCAAACATTCCACAAACTTATGATTTAACAGAAATGTATTTCTGTCAAAGATGAATAAAAAATATAATATTTCTTTGTGAAGGTTTCTGAATTAAAAAAAATAGCAGAAAAAATTAACTTTCCAGAAATAGTGAACTTATTCGATACCCCTTAGTATATATTTATGTATAAGTGAATTAATTAAGCAACTGGGTTCTTTATTTACCAAAGTAATCATATATTTTATAGAGTTGCTAGAAGTCTCACAAAGTTGCTACACAAAAATTTAAAACATCCCAATAACCTTCTTATTCGTGACTTACTCCAATATAAGACATTATGAAAGCATTAAATATTCAGTTAGTGAAGGATGTGGATCAGGAACCACAGTATGTAAAGAAAATGTCAAGCCTATGTTACTAAAGTTAAATGCTATATTAATGGCTTTTTTAACTAATATGCTTCACTGAATCAAACATACTCTAATAAATAATTTCAGCTTATAAAATAACCCAGCTTTAACTCTCAATGTAAGTTGTTTTCAAATACATCTGTCTTAATACTTTCATACAAACTTAGATAAGCAAAGAAACAATAAGTCAATAACAATTTTAACAAGATTTATACTACTACTTTATTTAGGGGACCTTAAAATTTAATTATCAAAATTCAAAAAATGTTAGGTTTATAAAACAAAAACGATTGAGCACTGAAGAACTGAAAATACTTGAAAACAACTAAAATTCAATATAGTGAAAAGGTAATTTTGATGGTTATAAACCATTTTTGTTTGAATATTGATATTCCTTATTATGTATAAAAATTAAAAACACAGTAACAAAAAGAATAACTCCTACGCATTCCTAAAGAATTGTAAATTTTGAAAACTTTAATAATTCCCAAAGTTCCTTTAAATCAAAAGTATAATTTCTTTTTTTTAAGCAGAATAGAAATTGCAGTTGAATAAGTATTTATGCTACAACTGTACATGTAGATCTTGATGACGAATAATGAACTTGAATTGTGCTAATTTTCAAAAATTGACTAAGATTGTTCTTAATAATAGTCTCAGAACTTAATACTCATACCTGCAAACATGACGTACTAAATTTCAATTCACAATACAACTAAATATGAAACCTTTTACATCAGAATGAAATTTGAAAAGCATAGTTCCTCAATCATAATGAATTGATCTTAGTTTTTAAGTTACTTACACCAAATACCATTATTACACTTACATTAAGTGTTGCTCAGCTTTTCTGTCTTGCTTAACAGATTGTATCAGATCTTTAGTTTTGAAGTTAGAATAAACATTGGCTAGATACGACATTCACAAAGATGAAAAACTTCCAAATAGATAAACCAAAGAAATTTCATGGACATTAAATTAACCAGTATGCATAGTACTAGTACTGTATTACACTATGTAAGCCATTTAACAATATGGTGCTAGATTTTGAGACTTACCCATTCAAATGTCTTTCTTAAAACTTATTAAGTTATAATACTAATTAGTTACCTCATCTAAATTTTATTTTCAAAAGCATACTGTGAATGGAATACTCTCTGCGATATTTTCATTCTAATGAAGTAATGTAATCATTTATTACAACAAACATTTTCACTTATTGTTGATATAAGTAGCTTGATATTACGCCTAACTATTCAGTATCAAGGGGATGTTCTTGTTGCTTGGAAGATAAAGTTAAAGGAGTATGAATAGCATGGGCAATTTTTATCCACTGCGCTGCCTTAACAAATTTGTCGTTTTGAGATGGAATTTGGTCCCAGTTCCAGTAAGTCAGTTTTCGAAAATGACCTGTCATTCGAAATCTTTTGTCAGGCTCATCAGTTACAGTTTTATCAACACTCTTCATAACAACGCCTACATAACCTTCCGGGAGTTGAATTTCTTGTCCACGCAATGGACGACCACGGAAAGATGACTTCAGAATTCCTGCATTATTTTCATCAGGTTCAATATATGATGTGAAAAAGTTAGAAACTGGCGCTGGACCACTGCATTTTATATGGCATGGCACAGAGTGACAGACAACATCATTATTAGATGGATATTTGTTTTTCCACCCTTGAACTTCCACACAACCTTTGTAATTCGACATTTTGTTAAGTTTACCGCGTGGTATCGTAGCGCCGTCTTCAAAAACACGTCGTTTTTATAATTATAGTATTTTGGCACTTGTGTATAAAGTTAAAATCATAAATAATATTCAACGTTAAACTGGTACACAATTAAAAACATTTTATTTAGGTCTA